GCATATCCCCCCCCCCCCCCGAGAGTTGAACATGGTAGATAGGTGGTTTCCAGTCCCATCAGTAGCAGAATCACACTGCAGTCAATTGGTTTAGAAAGACGTAACAGTGCTTAGAATGGCACTGTTTGTTGCCTATGTTGTGCACACTCACCTCATTGCCATATCTATTCAGCTTTGGTAGGTTTTTACAGTAATTCCACAACCAACAAATTCAATTTGATTCTAGACAACAGAGCAGTAAATAAATAAGAGAGTGTACTATTGATAAACACAGACACTATTATATTATCTTTAGGTCTCCTAAAGCTATCATACATCTCCAGCCACATAAATATTTGAATGGGGGGAACCTACTGGATGCCTTTAAGTAAATGGATCCATTAATGGTATTTGGAAAGACAATACAGGATATATAATAAAAGGAAGAAACTAAAAGAAATTGTCCCCAAAACCAAGAGAACTTTGAGGTGACATTCCCAGCAGAAACAGAAGGTTAGGTTTTTTTTTTAAGTTCACCAGGAAGTATCTCAGAACAGAAGTATCTTCTGTGAACGGGAAATAAGTCACCATTGTTACTTAAGAATCATAGAATCACGGAGTTGGAAGGGGCCCTAGAGGCCATCTAGTCCAACGCCCTGCTCAATGCAGGATCAGCCTAGAGCATCCCTAACAAGTGTTTGTCTAGCTGCTGTCTAAACACTGCCAGTGGGAAGCCTACCACCTCCCTAGGCAGCTGATTCCACTGTTGCATAACTCTTACTGTAAAACTGTTTTTCCTACTATTCAGCCGGTACCTTTGAAGGTGTAAGGAGTATGTCATCTGCATTGAGTTGTCTGAACAAACAGAAATTTGGCACTCCAAACATGTGTCCACAAAACACTGTCATCCCAGTCCAGCTGTATTCAAGGAAGCAGGATTCTGTAGTGAGATAGGGAAATCATGCATGCAGGGTTCCACCAGAGTCAAGTGGCTGGAGCTATACCTGGAGATCCCTTTTTCGTATTCTAAACTCCCACCAAATACCTGTTTGGGAAGAGAAGTGACCAGCTCTGGTTCCTTCAACTCTCCCTACCAAAGAAATGAGGGCTAGATGTTAGACTTCTTTAAAAGGGGCTGTATGTATTTGGCCCTGACTATTCTTCACTTGCTCTATTCAACTGGAGCTTATGTCAGAAAGCATTCCAAGAAACTACCTGAGAAGTTACTTTTCAAACCAGAATGCTGAGTTGGAAACCCACGTTTTAAAACTTCTGGGCCTATTTCTTCTGAAGTGCCCCAAGCATTTTCTTTCCTCCAGAGGGGTTGGTCTTATATTAAATAAGCTTTCCAGTTTGGATTGGGCCTGTTTATATAATAAAAAAAACCCTGCCAGGTGCAAACTCCATTTTCAGTGCCTCTGTCTTCCATTAGGAAAAATCACTGTTTCTCTCAGACAGCCTTTTCATAACTCTACACTCAGTCACACTAAACATTATGGAACATCCTGCATTTATATATTCCATCAGTGCAACTCAGCGAGCAACACTATTCAACCTCCTTCAGTAACAATCTGGTACAGAGTTCAGAATAAAAATAATTTCAATTTTTTAAAAAAGAAAAATGGAACCTATATCACAGTTCTGACCACTCATAATTTCTCTATTCACAGTTGGGTGCTTCAAGAGGAAAGGACCAAGAAAAAGAAGAAAAAAATCCATTCACACTTGAGAAAGTTTACAGGCCAGCAAAATTTTTAAAAATCATATTGTTCAGGCCTTTTTTCCCCCTGTTATATGTACTATGATGCTACCATCCCTACAAGTAGGAATTTGCATAAACTCCAGCTTCTGAGAGAACCACAGTGGCAATAGAACCAGATTTCCAGATATTGGGTTCACATTGTTATCACAGATCTATCATTCTCAATGATCTCCTTGTGTGACTGGTGTAGTTCTGCAACAGGGATACTCTGTCATTGTGACCACATAGTTGATCACTCAAAAACCAGGGCTTTTTTTATGATTACAGAGGACAAGATCAGGTGTGTAGTTTTTGTGCCATGTTGAATTTCAAAGAGCAGCCCACACAAACTATGAGAACTAGAACTCTCGAAATTGACACCTGTGTGTCTTTAACCTGTATCTAAGTTGTTATGTATTGGGGCTGAATCATCCCTGATTGAATCACCCCAGAGACTAGGTGAGCTTGGAGCACAAGAACAATAGCCTGCCAGGATTCTGAAAGTAACCAAACTAGTAGTAATGTTATGTAAATAGCCTATCACTGGGATTGGGGCGTGTTTGGGTGTGGCAATTACATGCTATTTAACAGAGCTGAGGCTCTGGAGTCTTGCTGTTGCTGAAATCACAAATAAAGTTGAACTGATCACTAGACTCGAGCCTGCTCTTCCATGGAACCCACTATTTAACATAAGTCAATTGATTTACCTGCTCACCTACAAAATCATTTGCCTTGTTTTTTAGGCATCAGGATTGTCTTCCTTATTCTACTAGGTGCCTGGTTTCATTGATTTCCCATTTCACTTAACTTCCTACTTCACTGACTTCCCCTTTCACTGTTTCAAGTGTTCATTGGGCAGCTGTGCTGACCCCAACACATGCCGACACCAGGCCTCTTTGTTTAGCCATGTCTCTTCTTTTGCATACAATCATTTACCAGACACAGCAGAGCCTAAGACAAGCTTATTTGAGTATGATAGGCCCATGTGCTGCTGAAGAGGAACTATTGTTGCCCATTTTTACTTGAAGACACTGAATTAAACCAGACTAACATTATAAGAAACTCAGCATGCTCCCTGTGTCTAGAACTGAAGAGTGGAGAGAAGACAAGGATTCTACATTCAGTAGGCACTAGAGAAAACCAAGTAGGACAGAGGTGGCCTTGGAACTCCACAAACAACAAAGTCGTGGCAAGCATCCCTCACTACCTGAGATGGAGACTTAGGGATGCCTCCTCCAGGTGTTTCCAGAGTGGATGGCTCTGGCTCATGGTTGACGGCCTTGGTCTCAGGGCTGGTGGCAGGAGTCCCATCAGGTGGAGACGAAGGGGTTTTGTTTGCTTTTGGAGAGGTACTGTCACTGCAGGAAAAAAGAGAGAGACTTGAGATTCAGCATTTAAATGAATCATCTTATATTTCTTGGAGCTATGGCACGCACATGAATGCCACAGAAATCCTCCTTGCCTGGGACCTTTCAATGTGTCTGCATGTGTACCTTCTACCTGAAAAAGGAAAGCCAGCAACAACATACCACTCCTAGACCATATGAGAAGGTCTAGCACCTGGTGGCATATAAGAAGAGGGATTCCTTTTGGTAGGGAAAAAAGTGTGCTGATGATCAATACCTGGCCCACAATTACAGTGCATGCAACCTATGCTTTCAACAATGAAGAAATTGATTTTAATTAAAATACTGCAGAGATTGAAACACCATGTCCAGTATACAAAGCAAGAGCTTCAGCCTCATTCTGCATTGCACAGTTGCTACCACAATCACCAAAATCCAAAATTCATTCACTAGCCATGAGAAGCGCATACCAATAGACTTCACACAAAAGCTATACATGGGCCCCTGCCACACGGCAGGGGAAAAGCCGCTTGAAGGCGCGGCTTTTAAAATGTTGACACGGCGCGGCGGGATCTCACGGATCCCCCGGCCGCGCCGCCTTTTCTCCCCGGCGCGATCAAACGCCGGGGAGAAAACACGCCCTAACCGGGGGCCGGCCGAACTGCGCATGTCCGAGCATGCGCAGTTCGGCTCCGGCCCGGGGACGCGCCGCGTCCATTTGAACCACCCAAGGTAGGTGGTTCATTTTGCGGCGGTTCTTCCCGGGTTTGGGCCAGTTCGGGTGCGGAAGCAGGACGCTTCCCAGATGTGGTGGTGTGATCGCGCCGGTTTGATCCGGCCCCGAACTGGCCCGCTCCCGGACCAAATCGCCGCGTGTGCACGGGACCATGATGTAGCAGGCTAAAGAAGAGAGCAGAGAAGCTGCACTGAACCACCTTGTATGTTTGGGAGACAAGCATCAGAGCTGGCTTAAATGGCCACAAGCACAGATTGCTTTTTTAAAAAAAGATTAGATGGATTCACGGAAAATATAGCCACTAGCCACAAAAACTTAAGGGAACCCTGACATCCAGAGGCAAGGAATTGTTGAATAACAGTGCTGGAAGATAACATCAGGAGAAGGTCTTGGCCTGTCTACCCTGTTTGTTGGCCATCCAGAGCACCTGGTTGGCTGCTGTATGGAACAGCATGCTGGATCAGACAGACCGTGGGGCTGATCTGGGAAGGTTTTTCTTGTGCCCTTAAAATTCAACTTTTCATCTTTCCAGAAATCCTTTATTGCTGGATTTTTATTAGGAAGAAAATTCCTCTTAACTCAGTAGGACTAATTTCCACGAAAACATACTTTACAAAGTTACCATTTGATTGGTTGTGAATTACACAGAAAATATAAATGCAAGTAATAAGAGGCAGTTGCCTTATTTTCTTCCACTGTTACCTCATTCACCAAGGTTCCAGACATTTATGTTTTGACAGCCAATCTGACAGTACACAGAGAATTTATTCATAAGATGGTGGAAGAGCAACATAGAGAGCTTTCTCCGCTCAGAGTCACTATGCAAATTTTATTCAGCAAGCTAATTAATATATGAATGAAAAATTCTGTATGTGAAAAAAAATCTGGCTCCTTTGAAGGCTACATAATCTCTAAGGCACATGTAGAAACACTGAACAGAATTAAATTTGTTTCTATTCACAACTGGAAAGCAGTTCCTTCAGGATAAAACCACAATTTTTGTCAGTCTAGGATACGACAGAAGAAGTAAGTGTGTGCAAAATACAGAAACAAACTTTACAATCATTTTTAGAAGGAAAAAACAAGGCTTTGTGGGAGAGGCAAATCCACCGTGAATGAAGAGCACAGACAGACCGATTTCACACAAGAGCTGCGCTGCGGTCGCGCCTCCCTTTGCCCCGCTTCTATTGGTCTATTTCCCACTTGAAGCCATGCAGCCGCGTTTTCACCCGCGGTTTCGCCCAATTTCCCCTGTGATTTCATGATCCTCAAAAAACAGGATCACGAAACCGCGGGGAAAATTGGCCGAATCCGTGGGTCAAAATGCGGCCATGCGGCTTCCAGTGGGAAATTGACCAATAGAAGCGGAGCAAAGGGAGGCGCGACCGCGGCGCAGCTCTTGTGTGAAATCGGTCACAGTGATAGAACTGTGATTTCCTTTTGCCCGTGTGGTGAGAAACAAAACAAATCTCTGTACACTTGAGCTCTCTTCTCCTTAACTGGTACTCCCTGCTGTCAGTATCTTCAGACAGGTATAACCAGCTTTTCAGCTAGGTCTTATAGTAGTTTCATGAAAATATTTAGCTCCATGTCATGGGAAACTTCACATGCTGATTTCTGCATATCAGGTCATTGCCTGTTACAGAAACAGCAACTTCTATTTGCTCTGTTAAGCAACTATATATTGCGTGCACAGCATGAGCAGACAGGAAGGTATTACTATTAATTCTCCCCCACTGATGCTTCTGGAAAACATACAGATTCTTCATTTTAAGGTCTGCTGAAAATCCTGACTTTTAATTGAGGTGCAAAAGCAGAGAGGAGATTAGAACAAAGACTTAAAACAAGTTATTTAGATTATTCAGACACACAAAGATCCTGAAACAATTCCAAGGCAGAGCAGATGGAACCATGCAAGGAATTCCATTCCAAGTTAACTATACTAAGCTGTTAGAAATCAGTCTTGTTTTTGAACTTTCACATCCCAGATCACGGCTTGCACAGAATGCAGCTTGCCATACCAGTACCTGCTCATCTTTTTCCTCAGCCTGGAGAACAGTTTAGTTTTCTTTCTGTTGAGGATGGCACACATCAGCAATCGCCGTTACAACACAATACAACTAAGCTGACAGATGCACAAGCTGACACACTTACCATGAAGATACTCAACCAAACATAAATCAGATAAGCTTGGTTCAGACTTCACACGGTAGATATTGAACCTTTTTGGTAAAGAAGCATTCACTAAGTGCTATGCAAATGCTCAGGGATGGGAAGGGGAGAAAGGGCTCCTTCCTTTGGCCACTACTTATGCCCATCTCTCTCTCTCTCTCTCTAGGTCTCTAGAAGTTATAACAGAAAGCATGGTGGGAATGGTGCAGGTTGAGAATGAAAGGGGGTAGAAAACCAAGTGCCCCATATTCAGGAGCTGCCCGTTGCCCTTCACAGGGCTATTTTTGGGCAGGAACGCACAGGAACGGAGTTCCAGCTGGCTTCTGAGTTGGTCATGCGCACACCTACAGCCAAAACTTCTGCCCTTGTGTGGCTACAGAGGGAAGGCCTGGAGAGTGGCCCCCCCCCCCAGCAACTCCGAGGCCAGCAAGCCAGGGGGGCCTGGAAGGATTGGGGAGGCATTTAAATGCCTCCCTGTGCCTTCCCTGGCCTGTCCAAGGACCAGCTTGCCCGGGCACCCCACAGCCGTGGAGTGCCCGGGCAATCCAAGGGAAGGTATGGGGTGTGGCCTAATATGCTAATAAGATGCACTGTCAGGGTGTGGTCCAATATGCTAATGCGTTTCTGATGTTGGGTGTGACCTGTTATGCTAATGAGTTCCTGCTGGGCGTTTTTCTACAAAAAAGCCCTGGCCCTACACAAGTCCCTTACTAAACTGAGCCTCTTGTACTCCTAGAAATCTTAGTCACCTTTAAAAATACATTAATACTGTGGGAGCCACTGCATTAATGTAATATTTAAAATCCTTGGTAAGGCCAAGAACATGGTCATCTTACCTTTAAGCCGCAAACATATTTGCAGTTCTTTTCCAGTTGTTTTAAAAAATTTTTGCTTGTATCACTGGAGAGGCCACTGTATCCCTAAATCTTCCCTTTCCATCACCTCACAATTCTTATTACAAGGCTCCTTTGGATTCAAAGCAGTGTCATGTGGGCACAGGACAAAAAAAAATCCTCCTCAGGATAAAAGTGTTGCTTCCATTGCGGCACAGCTTCTCTCCAAAAGGCTTCAGAAAGGACTGCACTGAAATTGAGGCGCTAAAATTTCAAAAGTTGCTCTGAATCAGAGCAGTTGCAGCAAACGAATAGGAAGTTAAAGAGATAAAACCAAGGGCCAAAACAGATGCAAGAATTGACATCAGTGTTTTGAAGAGATTAATAGATGCTTCTGGCACCCCAGATTCAGACTTGGGGCATACAAACAAAATACAAATACAATACCTTTATTGGCATAAAATATCAAATACACATGCAGCATAGAGCCTCAAGATAGGCTGGAGGGGTATCACATTCTGAATTGCCTTAATATGAGCCTCTCCTCCTAGATACCTCATAAAATAAATTTGCTACAGGTTCCAGAATTTCTATATTATGCGAAGACAATAAAGAACTAATTTTATGCTCATCAGATTGGCCCAAAAGGGGGTCCAACACAGGTTCAATATAAACAACACGGATGTCACAGTGGAATTTACAGTACAATAGCACATGTCCAATGGATTCGATTTCCCCCATCCCACAGGGGCACAATCTATCTTTATAGGGAATTTTGTTGAACCTTCCCGATAGAACAGCTGAGGGAAGGACGTCGAACCGTGCTAGCATGAAAGCCCTACGAAGATGGGGCTGAATCAGTCTTGCCAGGTATCCTGAGGAAATATGGCTAAAAGAAAGTCCCATACTCATGGGAGAGCAATGTCTGTGCGCAAGTCTTCTCAGATCTTGCACCTCTATATCGAGGAGTCTTTGTTTGAGTAAGGCGAAAGCCTTCTGCTCAGACAAAAGTACCAAGTCATCAAAACTAAAGCCGATTATAGAAATTTTTTTCTCTATATTAATCAACCAAGTCGATAGATGGGATTCAGTTAACATGTGCACCACAAGACTGTTTGGGCCAGATCTAAAATGAAGGCGCAGCCAAAATTTGAAGGTTATGGTCCATGCCATCGTAATCTTTGGGTTGTCTCCAGTACTTGGGGCATAATGCATAGGCTTGCCAAGTCCCCCTGGGGGGCGGAGAAAACCCCACCCCAGAGGCCCGTTCCCCGCCGCCGGATCGGGCCCCAGGGGGAGCCCCACCCCAACGTGCGTGTCACCCAGAAGTGACGCGACCACGCCGGGGGTGGGGCCATGGTCATCCAAGGGAAAACTCTATGGTTTTCCCTCGGATGGTCGTGGCCCCGCCCCCAGCGTGCCCGGTGTCGTCGTCACACCGGGATTCCCCCCCCCTGCGGTGCAACGCCGGACTTGGCGACCCTAATAATGCAGGAGGTGAGGAACCTTCCCAACTACCATGTGCTTTCACCAATCGAAAATCATCACCCAAACATTGTGTTTGCCCTGTCAGGGGAAATGATATGCACCCTCCCTTTGCTCAGCATTTTCCCTTTAGAGGACAGCAAGCACAGTCTCCATTCTTTTCCAATCTCTCTCCTCTCTCCTTCTGGCATCTTAAATTTTAACATTTTAACTAGTGTCAATCATTGGGAAGAACTGTGTATATGAATGATACTTTTACAGTGCTAATCTAACCAACTTCAGAGGACGGCGGAAGACAGGAGGGCCTGGCAGGAGATGATCCATGGGGTCGCGAAGAGTCGGACTCGACTGTGCGACTGAACAACAACAATCTAACCATGGTCTCAAGCTAATGCTCCACATAAGAGGTTAAGAAATGCCAGACCCCTGGGTTTGGGTAGACAATTATCCTTCCATTTCTCATTTGAAAACATGTGTGCATGTGCACAAGAGCGGATGTAAAGCAGTAGCTTGAAGAATCACAGGTTTGGAAGGGTCCATAGAGGCCATCTAGTCCAACCCCCTGCTCAATTCAGGATCAGCCTAGAGCATCCCTGACAAGTGTTTGTCCAGCTGCTGCTTAAAGACTACTAGTGAGGGCAGAGCTCATCACCTCCCTAGGCAGTTGATTCCACTGTTGCACGACTCTTACTGTAAAAAAGTTTTTCCTAATATCCAGCTGGTACCTTCCCACCCTTAATTTAAACCCATTATTTGCGAGTCCTATCTTCTGCTGCCAACAGGAACAGCTTCCTGCCCTCCTCTAAGTGACAGCCTTTCAAGTAGTTGTCAATAGCATTTCATCTGAATGGAGGGATATGTCCAGTGGGGTGCTTTCAAGAGCAAACATGTCCCCGCTCAACCTCCTCTTCTCCAGACTAAACACTCCCAAGTCCCTCAGCCTTTCCTCATAGGGCTTGGTCTCCAGGCCCCCAATCATCCTCGTCGCTCTCCTCTGCACACACTCCATTCTGTCCACATCCTTTTTGAACTGAGGCCTCCAGAACTGCACACAATACTCCAGGTGTGGCCTGACCAATGCAGTGTACGGTTGGGACCAGTGTTCCCTCTAAGCTGAGTTAGTCTGAGCCAGCTCACAGTTTTTTAGCCTCCGGCTCACACATTTTTGTCTCAGCTCAGGAAGGATGGCTCCAGAGCAAACTAATTTATGTAGTAGTCAAACCGCTCGCTCACAACTTTAATGCCAGTAGCTCACAAAGTAGATTTTTTGCTCACGAGACTCCACAGCTTAGAGGGAACATTGGTTGGGACTATGACATCTTGCGATTTAGATGTTACGCCTCTGTTGATACACCCCAAGGTCCCATTAGCCTTTTTTGTCACCGCATCACACTGACTGCTCGTATTTAACTTAAGGTCCACCTGTACCCAAGAACTTGTTCACACACACTGCTACCCATAAGTGTATCCCCCGTCCAGCATGCATGTACGTCATTTTTGTTACCCAGATGTAGAACTTGGCACTTATCCTTGTTAAATTGCATGTTGTTCACATCTGCCCACTTTTCCAGTGTGTTCCGATCTTGTTGAATTCTATCTCTATCTTCTGGTGTGTTTGCTGCTCCTCCCAATTTGATGTCATCTGCAAATGTAACGAGTAGCCCCTCCACCCCCTCAGCCAGATCATTTATAAAAGTATTTAAAAGGACTGAGGCCAGAACTGAGCTCTGTGGCACCCCACTGGACATATCCCTCCATTCAGATGAAATGCTATTGACAACTAATCTTCGAGTGTGGTTCTCCAACCAGTTCTCTATCCACCTAACTATTGTACAATCCAGTCCACACCCATCAGAACATCATGGGGAACCCTGTCAAAAGTTTTATTGAAATCCAGGTAAACAACATCGATAGCATTCCCTCAATCCAGTAAGCTTGTCACTTGATCAAATAATGAAATGAGGTTGGTCTGGCAGGACCTGTTGGGGACAAATCTGTACTGACTTCCCCAGACCACCAAGTTGTCCTTTAGATTCTCACAAATCGATCCCTTTAAAATCTGCTCTAGTATCTTCGCTGGGACAGAGGTCAGACTGACTGGCCTGTAGTTTCCTGGGTCATCCTTCCTCCCTTTTTTGAAAATTGGGATAACATCTGCCCTCTTCCAGTCTTGTGGCACATCTCCTGTCCTCCAAGAGGTCTGAAAGATGATGGAAAAATGCTTCGCAAGCTTTCCTAAAGCAGTACACGCAAGTCCCAGTTATCTTTTCCTTACTGTTGACACAGCCTGCAGGACTTAGAGCAGCTGGGAGTCTAATTTCCTAAACTGTTTCATCACTCATGAATTTGGGCAAGAGCCAGAGGCCATCTCATCCAGCTGGTGGGGTCTACCTTTCCCTTAACTGTAAGAGCTTTAAGGAGGAGGGAAAAGAGCATATATTTAATTTTAACCTCAACAATAAATTTCCTCCTTTTTCCTCATGTTATAAACTTGTGTTGGTTTCTTTGGCAAACAAAGTTCTAAGACACAGTGAATTTCTTTACAAAAAATAATATGCTAGATTGGCTGAAAAGAGGTAAGGGGTTCTTTGAAAAACTGAAATGGATTATGGTGATCAGGTTGCCTGACCTTTTCTCCTTCATCAGTACATAAGCTTCCCTATTTCTAGAACAAGGATGTTTGATTAATAGAAAGCAGAGTAGGAAAGGGCTTTATAATACATCTAGTCTAACCTCCCACTGAGTGATTTAGTGAAATACGTAGTCTTTCCAACTCTATAACTGCTCTTTCTGGGGCACACAGGGACCCAATGGCCTATTACCATGTACGTTCTGCAATTTGGATTTCAAAATGGAACTAAAAGGGAAGGAGAGATTTGTGTATCCCCCCCCCCCAGCTAGCAATCCAAAACAGTCCAGTGGCCCCTTTAAGACCAAGTTTTATTCAGGTACAAGCTCTTCCTCCTCTGCCAGGACAGATCTGCATGCCCCCCCCCAATAGCTAAAAATCCAAAACAGTCCAGTGGAGCCTGAGTGGTGGGTGTTGCCTTCTGACACACTTCCGGTGATGTCAGGGGGTGTGGCATATGCAAATAATTTATGCTAATGAATTATGCTAATGAGCTCCTGCACCTCTTTTTCTATGAAATGACCCCTGGGAACAGGGAAAAGGTGACAGTCACAACTGAGAACACCATCCATCTAAAAGCACAAGAGATACTGTTTCCTACCTCTCCCTGACCCCTTTTCTTGTGAATTCTCTCCCTCTTCTTCCCCTTCAGATACTACTGTATTAAAAACAATGTGCTTTTGATCAAAAATACTTTCCCCCCCAGATGGATTCACACCTTCACAATATGCTGTGCACGTTAAGGCCTGAATGCCTGGTGCCTACTGGGAGGCAGTGGAAGGATGGCTCCAAAAGGGTACAGACAAGAAGGCACTGGGTGACTCTCTTCTCTAGTTGGTCAGGTGGAAACAGACAGACAGACATGGCAACCAGTGCAAAGCAGAAGGCCCTATGAGTTCTCCTATGCACAATTATCCCCAGCTAAACCCAGTGAACTTGGACTGCATCAGCTTGCACTGTAAAATACACCTAAACACCACAGGTCCATCTTGCCCTGATACAAGGCAATTCTCTCATATTCCTTGACAAAAAGTAATTGGTCAGTGTTCACTAACCTTGGCTGAGCTTTAATAGGATAGGTGCTGGTTCCATGCTCTTTCTCTAGATCCACAAGGACATCGTTCAAGTTTTGGTTCAACTGAAACAAATATATATATATATATTGTTAAAAAAACTGAACAGGGAAGATTGAAAGTCAGTACAAAAAGAAGATTCAGAGTCTGCATCAGAAATGCATAAGAACATCAGTAGCCCCAGGAAGAGGGCACTGTCCAAAGGGAAATGGTCTTGTTAAAATTTCTTCTGCTTCATGGTCACATAACCCTATGTGCATCATTTTGACATCCAGAAACAGGTGCCACATGAGCAAAGTCTGTATCTCATTTACCCAACAAATTCAGCTCATGTCTCTTCTGTTTCCTCTGTCCCAACTACCACACACTTGAACTATTGTTGAGCCTTTGCATCAACACAGGGTCTTTGTTTCTCTTTGGGAACGAATGCCTTCCTTCTGCTCTTTCTTCCCATCTGCAGCTACGAAACTTGCCTACAACTGCAGACTTGGTTGCTATGGAACCAGAGTCTGTGGAAAAAACACACACACAAGAGTTTAGGCCAAGCCTAGCATCCACACTGAGGAAGGAGGGGGGATTTAATCCATGCCAACAGCCACGTGCCTGCCACGTCAGCAATTCAGCTGACCCTCTCTATCCCCAGCTCTAATGAAATACAGATATCTCCTAAGGAAAGGAAACTTTCCCACATATAACTTTCACCAAGGGAAAACAGAGTACAACATCTTGTTACTAAGTAATAACAGACTGTCCAAAAGCTTGCCTCATAACATGCTACGGTGTGCCAAACTCACTTTAAGTAACAGAGATTTCCTGCCCTACAAATTAAGTGATGGAATGGCTCCATCAGATTATATGTTTCAACTTTACACAAACTGGCATACGACTCTTGCAGCCATCGCCAAAGTCCTATACAAATTTTGGAGGCTACACCAAGAACCTCTGCCACAATGAGAGGATCTAGCTTTGAGGCCCAGAACATGGTATGGATGCGAACACTATGGTCGCTTTCTTCCTGATCCTCTGGGGGGCCTAAGCAGACTATGTACCCAAATATAAAAGTAAGCTGTGACTGAAGTGATAACTCCCATCTTTTGCTTTGAGCCCCTTGAGAACGAGAGAGCCAATAAAAAATTAAAGTACTTTCACCCTTGTATGTATGAAATGCTATTTCTGTTGCCTTCAGCATCCCATTCTTCCAAAGTATTTCTATCTTGTTTATTCCCTACCACAAAAATATAAACTCCATAGCAAGACAATGAAACCCCTGCAAACTTATGGCACTTCAGCTGGGAGTGCATAGTTTCTTTGTTCTGCATTTAGCATCTCGATCCATACATTTAGTAATTCCCTTTTGTAGAATTTGTGCAAAATCACTCATAACACTGAAGAACTGTAGACCATGGTGGTTTCAGTGAACTTGCACAGGGAGACATTTCATTTTCTAAAGCAAGGGTGCCGTTTTTTTAAAGATATGCATTATAACCAAATACCATTTTGGAAAGTCTGTCTATTATCAGGTCAAAGAATTATGCAGAATGAAAGTATGTCAGTAATCCTGAAAATATACCATAGCTGAGATTCCACAAGAAAAAAGGAAATCCCTCAAGTTTCCCAAAGTCTAAGAACAATGAACTGAGTGACTGAATTAGTAAGATCAAGGAAATACTGATTAAAAAATAAATGGAGGGAACAAGACCACACAAAATACTGATTTATTTGAAAGGTGTTCCAAAAGAAGCCACCAATTATGTGAAAAACTGTGAAATGACGTTGGGAATTATTATATTATTCCAGGGTAGCATAAAGGTAACAGTCAGCCATGTTTACCTTGCCCATTTCCTTATGGAAGTTCTCCTCCAAGCCTGCAATGCTCTGGAATGTGTTGACATAAAATCCAACACGACTGGTAAATAAAACACAATACAAGTCAATGGAGCCAAAAAGATGGTTCAAAAATATACCACATATGCCCATCCCACCCCCATTCATCCAAATTTCCATTCCTCCAGTCAGGCATTTGCAGGGTCACAGTGGTAAGCATGGATCAGATCATGTGAACTTAACTGGACTGACGGCAAGAGTTTGGTCTTTCATGGGGCCATCCAAAACTCTTCCATGTACTCTCTGATAAGTAAATACATTATCAAGCTACGGAGCTGCCTCCTGGGCTCACCTATTCCATAGTGAAGGCAGTTCTTCTTGAAGATCAATATTCATCTCCTCAAACACTTTTTGAGCTTTTACTAACTCTTCTTCAGCCTGGAGAAGAGAGTGAGAGCAATCAGCACAATGCATATAGAAATACTCATAGGGAGACAGGGCATATGACCTTATTGTATGTTCTTTACACAGGACCTACCTAGGGTCTTCCAGACTATTGCAAACCAGTTTCTTACAGATGTATTGCCCAAGAGTCTCCTCCAATTCACCTCTATATAAGAGAAGGATTTTTCATGTCTGGGCATGACCGACAACTGGCATAGGGAAGCCCAATAAATAAAGTGAGGAAAAAGTCCAGTGATCCCTTTGGCTGAGATGAGAATGTTAAAAGAGTGGGAAGCATGGGTAATCGACCCTTCCTGTTTCTGATACAAACTTGCAAGCCTGGGCTGAAGAACCAACAAAGCAGAGGAAGCCTGTGAGGTGGGCGTTGTTGCCATGAAGCCACTATTAATACCACTGCCTTGCTGGACTGTGAAGAACACGTGCCAGGGCAATGGACAGAGCTGTGGTCCTAAGTGAAGTGCCCTATGCTGGACTATGGGCAGTACACTGTGGCCAAGGGAAGCCTTGTGCCTAAGAAGTATGCCAAGCTAGATGTGGGCCTGGGGCTTCAGAAGCCTTCTGCCCCTGCCCCTCTGCATCCACACAAGCACTGTGATGCAGACCAACAGCCCTGGCCTCCATCAACACAGAGAGTAGCAGCCCCGAAGAGAGTCCATGTTCTGACAGAGGACCAATGCTCCTGCACAGAAGCCATGAAGAGATCTCTTCGTCACCACGTAGCGCACTCCTCCCCTTCCCAAGCCATTCTGTTGCCCAGCCAGAGACAAAAGAAGTGATTAAGCTTTCTTGCCACCTATCCAGATAATGTCTCTGACAAGCATCGGATCGTTAACATGAAGCAACAAAGCCGTGAAGTGATTGGATCTCCCTACCCCTTCCCCTGCCACACATCAACCCTAAATTGCCCAACTGTCATTTTACTTTATCACATCCATCCTGGAATATTATTCTTTTTGTCACATTTCCTGGGAACCCATGACCACATGACCATCACCTCAGGTCACAATTTGGCTATTTAAGGTGAGCCCTCCCTAGGCTCGCTCTCTTCTCTTCGCCCCCCTACTCCCTTCTCGGTTACATTCCTGATCAGTTTGGAACTGCTCCATGTGTGTCACTGGCCGGCCCATGATCCCTCCCCTCTCTCCTTTTAGTTCCTTTTTCACTGTAAGATCTGTGCATCACATCGGACAGGTAACATATCACCCCCCAATGATACTTTCTGCTAATGCGGATGTCACTATCTTTTCAACCTTAATTTCCTAGCTCTGTATTGTGTGTGCGAGTGTTTGCAATTATTATCGTATGATTGCAGATCTTAAGTAAAAGACCAATTACTTCATGCAACTTGGCCACGGGCTCTGGGAATTCTGACTCTGGTATACACAGGTTATGTCCCAATATTTCATGCCTATAGCCCTTTAATATCCATTATTCCCCAAGCTTAGTAATAATATAAGGCAATTTGGCTAACAGTGTGGTCAGAAACTAGTGCTGTGGAAAGCGCTGGTTGGCCATAGTGGCCACAATTGACAGAGATGGCACTCCCCTGGGTCTGCAGAGGGCCTGGGAATGCCAAGGCAAGGGTGGGCCCCATCTGAGGAGGTGGGTTCAAATATTGAGGAGGGCCTCAAAGGAAGTGGTCCAGAGGATCTGGGGTGGTTGAAGTGAGGAGGCAATAGGACAGGCAGGTGCAGAGGTGGAAGTGAAGGAACTCTCCAGGAGCCATGCCTGGCTGATGCTGTACCCAGCACGCAAAGCAGAATAAAAGATGTTTACTTGCCACCTGTTGTCTGAAAGTTTGTGGGAGCCACCATGAACCAGCACCCCACCCCTAGCCTGCTGTACACATTCCCTCCTGTATGTGGCCCAGAGTGTTTCTGCCCCACATTCATCTTAATTATGGTAAGCAAAAGCTGCGTTTTCAGAAGCGACCATGGTACATTCCGGCTACACCACACTGTAAAAGATCACATGCATTGAAATAGAAACATGAACTTTGGTTGCCATGATAAGGTTTCTTAAAAGCCACAGAATGTCCTAGAGCAGGAGATTTCCACGCAGGATGAGATATTCTGAAAGAAGGAACCTGACTCTCACCCAAATGCCCTTTCTTCTCAAAAAATTATAGATGATCCCCCATGAACCAGTGAGAATTATGACACCTTTGCATAGATACCCAGGAAAGTTGGTGGCAGTGCAACATTCAGATCAATATGAATCTGAGGGGCCCCCTGTGAATACTGAACACTGATTTCATCACACGATTTTAAAGGATATTGTAGAGCTGGGAAAGTTACAAACAAGAACAACCACAGTGATCAGTGGGTTAAAACAACTTTCCCACAAGGAAGGGTCACTTCATTTAGGGTTTTTAAAAATAAACTAAAAAAGATGTCTAAGGGCTGTGAGAGACTGGGTGACATATTGGGTGACAAAGAAAGTAAATGCAGAGCATTTTTCTCTCCCTCTCAATAAATCGCAGCAGATTCAGGACACTTAGTAGGAAGCACACCCTTGTATAATATTTAATGTATGAAATTTGCTGTTAAGAGGGCTTTAACAATGGAAAATTCATAGAGGATAGGACATTCAATGTAATATCACCATGCTCCCTGGAGCGCCAGCAGGACATAAGAACATAAGAGAAGCCAATGTTGGATCAAACCAATAGCTCATCCAGTCCAACACTCTGTCACACAGTGGCCAAAAATACCAGGTGCGATCAGGAAGTCCACCAGTGGGGCCAGGACACCAGAAGCCCACCCACTGTTGACCCCCCCCCCAGCACCAAGAATACAGTGCAACACTTGCCCCAGCCCGAGAGTTCCTATCTATACCTAGTGGCTAATAGCCACTGATGGACCTCTGCTCCATATGCTTAGCTAATTCCCTCTTGAAGCTGTCCATGCTTGTAGCCGCCGCCACCTCCTGTGGCAGTGAATTTAATGTGTTAATCACTCTTTGGGTGAAGAAGGACTTCCTTTTATCTGTTCTAAGTTGACTACTCCGCAATTTCATTGAGTGCCCATGAGTTCTTGTACTGTGAGAAATGGAAAAAAGTACTTCTTTCTCCAACTGCTCTATCCCATGCATAATCTTATAAACCTCGATCATGACACCCCTCAGCCGTCGTTTCTCCAGGCTAAAGAGCCCCAAGCGCTTTAACCTTTCTTCATAGAGAAAGTGTTCCAACCCTTTTATCATTCTAGTTGCCCTTTTCTGCACTTTTCCCAATGCTATAATATCCTTTTTTGAGGTGTTGTGACCAGAACTGTACACAGTACTCCAAATGAGGTCACACCATCGATTTATACAGAGGCATTATAATACTGGCTGATTTCTTTTCAATCCCCTTCCGAATAATCCCCAGCATAGTGTTGGCTTTTTTTTATTGCAGTTGCACAATGTTTCAACATTTTCAGTGAGTTTTCTACTACGATTCCAAGATTTCTCTCTTAGTCAGTCTCTGCCAGGTCGGACCCCATCAACGTGTATTTATATTTAGGATTTTTCACTCCAATGTGCATCACTTTGCACTTGGCCACATTGAACCACATTTGCCACCCACTCGCCCATCCTCAACAAATCCCTTTGGAGTGCCTCACAATCCTCCCTAGTTCTCACCACCCTGAATAACTTTGTGTCACCTGCAAATTTAGCCACTTCACTGCTTACTCCCAATTCCAAATCATTAATACAAAAGTTTAAAAGTATCGGACCGAATACTGATCCCTGCTGCACTCCACTTCTTACCACCCTCTACTGAGAAAATTGCCCATTTATACTCACTCTCTGTTTCCTATTAATTAGCCAGTTTTTGATCCACAAAAGGACTTGTCCATTTATCCCGTGACTATTGCGCTTACTTAGGAGCCTTTGATGAGGAATTTTATCAAAAGCTTTCTGGAAGTCAAAGTAAACAACATCTATTGAGTCCCCCCTCGTCCACATGTTTCTTCACTCCCTCAAAGAACATTAACAGGTTAGTGAGACAAGATCTTCCCTTACAGAACCCATGCTGAGACTGCCTCAATAGTTTTTGTTCATCTATGTGCCTACTAATTCTTTCCTTAATAATGGTTTCTACCAATTTACCCGGTATCGACGTCAGACTGACTGGCCTGTAATTTCCCGGATCTCCTCTGGAACCCTTTTTAAAGATGGGAGTGACATTACCTACCTTCCAGTCCTCAGGGATGGAGGCAGATTTTAATGAAAAATTACATATTTTTGTCAGGAGATTCACAAGTTCACATTTGAGTTCTTTCAGAACTCTCGAATGTATGCTATCCGTGTGTGGTGACCTTCCTGCTTCTTCAGCAGGGCCGGTAAGACTGGGGCTCTCCCAGGGCAGGCCCCTCCCCCAGCTGGATCGACTTAGAGAGACCAACCCCACTCAGGAGGAGGAGCCGTATCCCAATAATGAGGACTGCCACACTCCCAGGACAGTTTAAGGGCAGTTTAAAAATTGGGCAGTTTAAAAATTGAACCAAATAAATAAATTGTCTTTTACATAATCCTTTAAAACCACATTTAATTATTATGGCTTCTTTTTAAATTATGGCCCAATCTGCATCTAGTATTTGCTCCGTTGTTGTACCAAACCCACACTGGAACAGAAAAAGATGTGGCTCAAAACCACATTCAAATACCCCAGGTTAATGCCATACTGACTGCAGAGACACCCCTGAATGGCCATAAAACGGCCATAAATCCATGCAGACAGCCACCATAAAACCAGAGATCAAACGAAGTGAAGGCCGCATGCAGTCTGAACGCTGCCATAAAATTCGACACTCAATCAAAGTGAAAGCGGCATGCAATGCAGATGGGAATTTCTGTTCCAGGGTGGGTTTGGTATAACAGCGGACCAAATGCTAGATGCAGATTCGGCCTATGTGTACAGCCCACTGTGATCAAGCCATCCCTGTAGAACAATACCACTGGGAATTACCTAAAACGAGACCAAGAAA